GGTCAGCCTTCCCAAAGGTTTGTGGCCCAAATTCACACCACTTGGGTGGTCAGAAACCCTTAAACTGAGAACTCAACGTTACCCTGGCGGGCGCCTAACCTCTTCCCCTACCTGGCGGAAGCCAAGGCAAATTCTTTCTGGAGGAGCCACCTTCAGCCCGGGCGTGGCAGGTTGTATATTCCGCGGATGGCCACCACAGTATTTCCTACCCGATGAGCTCTCCTAGAAACTTGTCACAGCCCCATCAGGAGGTGATGTCTCTGTCCCCACTCTTTGAAGTGGACAGGCCTCTTGACTGCCTCAAAGGGTGGAATGCAGTGAACGGGTGACTCCACATGATTTCTGAGGCTGGGCTAGAAAAGGTGACATTGCCTTTCTAACCCAGCTTGAGCCTCTGTTCCCGGATGAGGGACTCTGGCACCTACCCTCGTTGTTTTTTTCTAAGGTAGCCAGTCACATGCTTGCCCCAGAGCTTGGGCCTGGAAGACCAAAGAAGTGCATGCCTCAGAGTGGAGAGCCTGGCGTCCCTCCCGATGACATTATCACTTGCATGTGACTGGCGGAGTGTCCGCGGAAGCAAGGGCCTTGGGGAGCTGAGGCTTGTACCCTTACATAGTCGTGAGGACGGCAGGACTGCGGGTTGGGACGGCAGCTTTGGAGTTCTGGGAGCTATTATAGAAAGTAAAGGACAAGCTACGACCTCTCAACCCTCAGCTTAAGTCACAGTCAGAGAACCAGAGAGATTCTATGGGGCCCTAAAATAATCCTTTATTTCTCGTAGCTGTAGATTTTCAACATTGCCGAAAATCCCGCTCCCCACACGATGACAACCTAAATGGAATCGTAGATACCAGAATCTCAAGCGGCGTGCTTGGTTGTCTGCTCTGTGTGCCTGAGAGATGACCAGGTGCACAGATGTACTGACTCAGCCGCAGCAGATGGCCGGGGAAGGAGCTAGTAGATGTGGGTGGCTGGTGACAGGTCTCGGGAGGAGATATGCAGCTACCTGTCAGAACGGGACAGTGCGAAGCTACTGGAGTCCCATGTGAATGCCCACCCAAGGGCATCTACTGCAGCAGTGACTCTCCATTAATGAAGAGACAAGATGACACATTCCGTGGATGACAAGCAGTCTCTTTTCACAGCTGCGCCATTGCTCGCCGTAGGGGCTTATCTACACAGTGGCCATGGGGGCAGGTGGAGGCTGTGCATGGGCTTAAGAACATGGACTTCCTCTCACCAAGGTGACCTGGCTACTGTCCCCGCTGAGTACCCAATGGGCCAACAGAAGAGACCAACGCTAAAACTGTTATAGCACCATTTCCTGAAGGAGGGAGGGGCATTCAGAATCAGTGTTAAAAACCTTTAAATGTGACCACTTAGTTATGTAAAAGAACAAAATAGGACCTACAACTTAAAAATCATAGCAAATGACATGAAGAACTCCTGGAACAGGTTTATCAGCAGCCTAGGGGATAATCAGTGAATGGAAGAAACGTCTAAAGAAATATCCAGAATGTGGAACATAAAGATAAGAGATTAAGACATGATCGAGAGATTAAGAGACAGGGAGAATGGTATGAGAAAGTCTAAGTGTTTTACACACCTTTCGTTCTCTCTCTCTTTCTCCCTTCCCTTCCTCCCTCCTTCCTTCCTTCAATGGCATGAGAAAGTCTGAGTGTTTCACACACTTGTCTTGCTTTCTTGCTGCCTTACTTTCTTTCTCCCTCCTTCCTTCCTTTCTTGTTTCTTCCTCTATTTCACAACCCACAGTCATAAATGCATTTCACTTGTGACTCACTGTACAGATAAGTGTATAAATATGTTAATAAATGCAACTGAAACAAAAGTTTCATGAAATAATACAATGCACTGCAATATTTTCTATTCTCTTTCTTTCTCAATGCTGGTAACAACCTACTACAATTATTTTATAGGTCACTCTTGGAAACCAACCTGCAGTGTGAAAACTATTAGTTGAATAAACTACTAATCAGACTTCCAGATGTTAAAGAGAGAATGAAGTTGGGATAACATTTAAAAGAGATATTTTCACACATACTACAACATGGATCGAACTTGAGGACTTTATGCTAAATGAAATAAGCTAGTGATAAAAAGAAATATTGTATGATTCTATTGTATGAAGTATCTAGAGTTATCAAATTCATAAAGACAGAACGTAGAATGGTTGTTGCTGGGGACTGATGGGGGCGTTCTGGGGAGTTACTGTTTAAAGGGTACAGAGTCTTAGTTTTATAAGAAAGGAGTTCAGGAGAGGGATGGTGGGGATGGTTGCACACAGTGTGAATGCTCTTAATGCCACTGAGCTGTACATCTAAAATGATAGATGGTAAATTGTATGTTATGAGTATTTTACTACCATAAAAATGTAAAATTAAATTTTAAAAGATACTGTCTGAGAATTTTCAATAATAATGAAAGACACCAGTCAATGAATTCAGAAAGCCTAAAGAATTCAAGGCAGGATAAATTAATTAAAAGATACATCATTATAAAACTGTAGAACATGAGAACAGAGGAAAGAAACAGATAATCTTTTTTTTTTTTTTTGAGACAGAGTCTCACTCTGTTACCCTGGCTAGAGTGAGTGCCATGGCGTTAGCCTAGCTCACAGCAACCTCAAACTCCTGGGCTCAAGCGATCCTCCTGCCTCAGCCTCCCAAGTAACTGGGACTACAGACACGCACCACCATGCCCAGCTAATTTTTTCTATATATTTTTAGTTGTCCAATTAATTTCTTTCTATTTTTAGTAGAGACGGAGTCTCGCTCTTGCTCAGGCTGGTCTCAAACTCCTGAGCTCAAACAATCCGCCCGGCTCGGCCTCCCAGAGTGCTAGGATTACAGGAGCGAGCCACAGCGCCTGGCCAAAACAGATAATCTTTGAAGGAAGGACGTGAGATTGTCATCTGACTTCTGAGGAGTAATGAGGGCAGCAGGAAAACAGTGGATGGTGTCTTCAGTGTACTGAGAGAGAAGAACTGTCATTCTAAGCCAAGACATCTTTCAAAAACAAGGGCAAAATAAAGTCATTTGCAGACAAATAAAAACAGAGTTTGCCAGTGAACCCTCACAAAAATATTTTTTATTTTTATTTTTAGAGATGGAGTCTTGCTATATTGCCCAGGCTGGCCTCAAACTCCTGGGCTCAAGCAATTCTCCTGCCTGAGTCTCCCCAGTAGCTGAGACTCCAGGCACACACCACCATACCAGGCTCAGGGGGTTTAAATAGAAAAGGTTAAACTTAACATACACTACAATTAAGGAATGTAATTTGGGAGACAGGTGATTAGAGTTAAATTATTCCAAAGTCCTAATAATTTAAGGGAGCAGGAAAAAGATAGTTTAAAGATATTGGAACTTCATAAGTATACATATCAAAAATTTTAAGCAAACAAGTAAAACAATAGAAACAGATCATTTATGAGAAGAAAAACATGATGAGAAAAAAGTCTACCCTAAAGAATCAAGAAAGGAGAGGGGGGAAAAAACAGGCGGGATAAACAGAAATAAGACAGTAGAAATAAATCCAGATATATTGGTAAATATAATAAGTGTAAATGGACTAAATGCTTCAGTTAAAAGACAAAGATTATCCTTTAAAAAACCTTTTTATCATGAAAAATGTCAGGTATTTAGGAAAGTGGAAAGAACAGTACAAAAAACATCCATATACCTGCCCTGTAGAATCAACCATTGTTAACAATTTGCTGTGCTTGTTTCATCCACCTATGTTTGTGCAGGAGATTATTAAAGATACCTATGTTACATAACAAATGTAATATAATGAAATACAATTTAAATGGTAATAATAGAGTGTCCACTTTTGAGGTCAAGCAGATCTGGATTCCTAGCAATTTTTATTCATGTAATTTATTTACGTCTTTTCACTAGGCTCTAGCAAGAGGGTAGGAATAGGTCAACTTTTCTATCATTGTATTTAAAATATTTGTTGCATAATCATACGGTATTTACCCGTAAAGCATTCAGCAGTGCTTATTGCATAATAAACATATACTGTAGAGTAGCTTGTATTTATCATAGTTGCTGTTGTTGTTATTGAAAGCATTCAGTAGAGTGGGACAAAATCAGTAAGCAATAATTGGTAGTTTATGATATTTATAATTATTATTTACGATATATCGCAGTGCCTAGCACATATCACTCACCCATAAACACCATGTTTCTTACAAGAAGTACTTTCATTACCATTCAAAGTCTCTCACAGTGTCTGGCACTACATAAGCAAGAGAAAAGTGGAGGTTTATTCTTATTATTACTGAATAAAGCACTGAACAAAACGGCTGTCCCCCAGCGGGCCCTTAATAAATGCTTTTCGCGGTGGCTGTCATCATTTCTGGACACCCTGACAGACCCCTCCTCCCGAGCTGAGCGAAGCCCCGCCCCCTGCTGCCCAGCAGCCCCGCCCCCTGGCTGTGCCGCGCCTGCGCACTGTGCCAGGAGGGGCTCAGCGCGCGCAGCTCTCCTCCCCGCCCCCGGAGCCGGCGCAGGGCGCAGCTTCCCGCCGCCGGAGCCGGCCAGCCTGCTGCGTGCGTGCGTGTGTGCGCCGCTGCGTGCGTGCGTGCGTGCGTGCGTGCCGTCAGCTCGCCGGG